TGCATAATAATAAATAATAATAATCCTTGCATTTGATATAGCGCTTTTCACGTCCTCTAGATGTCTTAAAGTGCTTCACAGAATATACAGTAAGGTGAATTGACTGTATATTTGTGGGCGAATCGCGGCAGACAATTGCGCACAGCAGTTTCCCACAAACAGTCGTGGATTGAAGTGACCGATTTTTTTATTATTGCTTTTTTTCTTGAGGGATTATTATCAGAGGTGTGGAGCAAGGAAACTTGCCCAAGGTTTCTCCCTGTTGGGAATCAAACCGAGGTCTCTCGCTTGCGAGGTGAGTGCTCTAACCACTGAGCTATAGATAATGTCTTATCACATCATAGAAATGTTTCATAAAACTTCATACGATTTTCTGTGAAGTCGAGTGACTGGGTCAAAAGTAGTAGCCAGTGTCCCACAAACAGCCTTGAACTAAGCCATAAATATTATTTCGGAGATTGTTGGACAGGACACCAGGAGGAACCTCCTTCTGTTTTGCAAAAGCCTTGTGGGAGATCTTTAACACCCACCTGAACTGGTAGACAGATCCTACGTTTAATGTCTTATCTGTCTCTCCCTATTTCCCTCACATTCACTGTCTCACTATTTTGCTTAAACATTATGTGAAGGACGGAGCCTCTGACAATACAACACCCTCCAACACGGCATTGGAGGGCCATATTGGACCATGTGATTCCAATTCGCGATGTGGGGCTTCAAGCCACAACCTTCTAACTCTGGGGTGAGTGTGCGAGTGACCGGCAATGACACCCAAAACCCAGATTGTCTTTCCGGGGTGAAAACGGGTGCTTTTGAACGTGACCTTTTCCCTTCCAACCAAATCAGCGAGTTTGTGCTCTCTTTCTTGTGTCTTACAGGTAATTTACTGACAATCGTCATCCTGTCCAGAGGAAACTGTGGACTCTCCAAATGCATCACTCACTATCTCGTCGCCATGGCAGCAGCAGACCTGGTGGTGGTTGTTGCTGATGTGATATTAACTCGGATGAATTTCCTCTTCTACCCTGTTTGCTTCCTGGATCTCACGTACATCTGCGCCGTGGGTACAAATGTGCAGTGTGTGGCTGCGGACTGCTCGGCCTGGCTGACTATCGCCTTCACCTTTGATCGTTTTGTGGCCATTTGCTGCCCGAGGGCCAACGCCACATACTCCAGCAAGAGGACGGCTGCCGTGGTGATTGGGGCAATCTGGGCAGTGAGTTGTGCGACCAATATGCCCTGGTACCTGGCCGTCGAGCCGTTGTTGGTGATCGGAAACATGTCTTGGTTCTGCAAAGCCAAGGAGAGCTTCCACACTTCCCTCGGGTGGGCCATGTTCAACTGGATCGACATCATCCTGACCCCATTTATTCCATTCTTCCTGATTTTAGCCCTCAATATACTGACTGTCAGGCACATTGTGGCCGCAAACAAAGTTCGCAGAAGTTTGCTGGGCCACAGCAATGCGGGAAGCACCGACTCGGAAATGGAGAACAGGAGAAATTGTGTCATTTTACTCTTCGCTATATCTGGCAGTTTCATGCTGTTTTGGAGCGCATACGTTGTCTACATCATCTATGGGCAAACTGTCAATTATTACTACACAGATTACAACCATCCGATCTACATCCTCTATCACACAGCCATAATGCTCCAGCTTTCAAACAGCGCCACAAACACGTGCGTTTACGCCGTGACGCAGACGAAATTCAGAGAAGAGGTGAAGAAGGCAGTGAAATACCCCTTCGTTTTGATGATGAAACAGTTTTCACAGTGAGAATGCACTGTCCGGGTCTGATATGCTGAAAGTTTTCAACTGCTAGCAAGTCAAAGTATGTCATTTTGAACACTGGTTCAATGATCATTTCCGGGTTTTAGAACCAAAAAAATAAAAACTTTAACCTTTGATATGCTGCTTTACACATTGCAGTGATATATGAAGTCTCTCTTTGTATTTCTATTGGACAAGTCTATTTGCCAAGGCCCCTCACGTGAGGATCGGGTTGATTAAGCACCTGGTACTCAGTAAACCTGGTACGCAACATTGTAATTTCGACCTTGAGAACACTACAATGGCTCTCACATCATAAGCAAAGGACCTCAATGCTGAACGCAGATGTCCGCCAGATAGCTGATGAGCAAACTTTGAGGCTTGGGGCGACACTGCTGGAAGGTGTTGCCTGGAGTCCGAGTTTGTGGGACACGTTCGTACATCCAGCACCTGGAATCCACCTTGAGTGGCTTGCAGAGAGGCAAGCAGCTGCTGCTTATGTGACTATCCTCCTTAGGGTGAGACAGGGTGTGGGGTAGGGACGGTTAGCGCGTTCTCTTCGGAGCTGAACTGGTTCCAAGGTGACATGTACGGCAACATAATATCGGGATTGAGCCAACCCTCTGGTTGTCTCACTCTTCCTGTTACTGAGCCAGACAGGTCCACAGTACTCCAACAACCTGGTGATGACAGCACAGCCAGGCTGGCAAATCAGCAGGACTTGTGTAAATTAGTACTATCTCGGTACTCCATATAAGGTTATATAGCCTCTTATCCACTTTCTCTTACATTAATAATCATGATCCTTGCATTTGATACCGCACTTTTCACATCTTCTCGACGTCTCAAAGCGCTTCACAGAATATGCTGTAAAGTGAATTGACCGTATATTTGTGGGCGAAACTATAATGGACTACAAAGTGAGAGCAAACTCTTACCTTGTACTTAACTCTTTTAATGCTACCTGATAATCTCTAATGTTATTTCTAAATACTAATGCTACCAATTTAATTTGATATAAAATTTACAATCTCCCCACCTTGAGAGTGAGAAATCTAATTTTTGATATCTCACTCCTTTTTAATCATACTCGTTCTTTCTTGCATTAGCTCCAACATTTCCAACCCTTCTTTCTTTCTTTTCAACAAACCTTTGCATGTTATTCCTTCAGATGCATTGTTAGTTCTTATATCATTTTTTCTTCTATTTCATTGATCGTATTCCGGGTAATGTTAAGCGCTCCCATAATTTTGGCAACTGATATTAAAGATTGTCGTCCTTTACTTACAAGTTCTCTCGTAAGACTTGCAACTAGCTACAGTATTTCCCAAAGTTGTTTAGGCATCTTTCACAATACACTGACTGAATGTCTACGCCATTTAAAGCAACTCCCATTATTCCCGGTCCTGACGCAATATCTGTCAAACTCCTGGTTTTCCTTGTTGCCTATTTTCCTGAATTTTCTACCAAATCTTCCATTTTTCTACCCCAGATTTCCTGATGGAACACTGTCAGATGGTGTCTGATTACTTCTTGAAACCAAGCTTCAAATTGACCATGACACAACCCTTTGGGAGTTGTTACATTTATAAAATTTATTTAAGTAATGGGCCAATAAAATCAATGTGTGTGTGAGTCCAGGGTCCTTCCGACGTCAGTGCTGTTCTCTTAAAGGCTCGTAACTTTATATTGTAAGCAAGCCAAGCACCTATGGCATTGCAAATCAGTATTTAGTGCCATTCCTGGGCATCAAGCCATCATCTTAATCATATCTGAGGCACTGCTTGCAGATCAATGAACCCCATCAGTTTGATGACATATGCACTAACTGACCGTACATTAATCATTGTGGCATTTGACAATCTTACTGGTGGAAATAGAGATTCTAATTATGCACATTGGGCAGAATGTGGCTCACATTTGTACATGAGGATTTCCATTGAGGGGTGTGAACTGCAAGTTCTTTTTGTGGATCTCCATCAACGTGGTATGATGGCCCATTCATGTATATATGTTCTGCTTTAGAACAATTCTTCCTTGCTCACCAAACCTTTCTCAAAGTCCATCAAGGCAATGGACACATATGGGGCATTCCCTCATATAACAACATTTGAGATAATAACTTTGTTTCTTTGAAACCCTTCTCAGATTCCAGCTGTTCACTTTTCAGGCCCAAGCTTCTCTGCAATTCAACATCCTCATCACTTAACACCTGCCTGTCTCTGACTTTACTTGTTTCAAGTTTTCCGACAAACGCTGGAATTTCTTGTCCAGAATCTGTTTTGTAACTCATTGTGCTTTGCGTAATTCTGTTTGCATATTCTTCTTTTCTCATCTCGCTTCTTTGCTTGAATCATTTCTTGATTTTGCTTTACACAATGCTCCCAACATCTCATCCCTGTGGGTATCAGTCACAGATATACCACACACTTCCATTCTATCTGTCCCGGCTGAGTGTGGCAGAATCCAACACCCTGAACCAAAGACATTATGGGTTACACTGGACTCCTTCCATTGCCTGACAGCAATTAGGTTGCGGTTCTTACTTACGTGTACTCCCGACAACATTGACTGAGAAAACACTTTTAGGTTTTAGAAAGAATGCTTTTTAATAAATATATATATTTTTTTAGAAAGAACGCTTTCTGGAACCTCCTCTCAGAATCCCAGAAGAAAAAAAACAATAATAACGAAATTAGTCACTTCAATCCACCACTGTTTGTGGGACACTGCTGTGCTCAACTGGCTTCTGCATTTCACCCACAATTATACAGTCAATTCACTATATTCAGAAAATTCTGTGAAGCGCTTTGAGACATCTGGAAGACGTGAAAAGCGCTATATCAAATGCGAGCATTATTATTATTATTATTATAGGTTAGGACTTCTTAACAGTTGTTAAAATTGGATTCCCATTTGGGTTGTGAATTGATCAGGACATTTGAATCTATCCTTTAATTCATCCTGAAACATTGTTCAAAGTTTGGATATTAAACAGTTGTTTCCTGTCCTATATCTCCATAGACAATGATTCCACAAAGAGCAAAGACCAAATCCGCAATACTTAATAATGGCAGCAACTCGGTTTCAGGAGATAGCGATTGATCTGTTACCATATCTCCTGGGAGAGTCACAGCTGGGAATCGGTCAGATCTGCATATCACACGACACTGGCGAAAATATCCTCAACTGCACCAAAATCTGAATCACATTTGTGTGTGTGTTAGCAATGTTCCCACCAGAAGAATGTTCAAAACCTTACGACGTTGAAGAGCCCGTAACAATCCTGAACCAGTTCTGCTCCTTGTTCTATAACAAGATAACAATCACAGGTATCCACCAAGTGACGTTACTCTCTCATTTCCACTCACTTTCACACGGTTGCATTAACTCTTTCCTTACAGTTGTTTCTGGGGTTCTCACTGAGCGCAAACCGGCTGCTGCGTTTGACGGCAAAACACACACTCGCTCCACGTAAGCGTGAACCCTGTGAGGCGCTTTCAGATGTCCTCCCGATGTGGGAGGCTCTGTATTGAACGTTGGGGAATATTGCCGTTAGTTCAGTTGACTGGAGCCCGTGTTGTAACGGTAACGATTGTTTGTTCAGCCGCCTGTGAGTAATGCCCAGCAATCGAGCAGATTAACGGTCTCGCTGGGGGCTACTCACAACTTGATATAAAAGGTCGACGCTCATCAGTGGCAAACCTCCGCTTCACCATGAAGAAGTCACACAGCTTCTCAGAGAAGAGTTATCGAAAGGAAACCATTTTCCAGATAATGTACATCGTCTACCCTGTCCTCGCCCTTGTCGGCGTGCTCGGTGAGTCAGCGGAGACGCGTTGCTTGTGATTCCCCGATCACTTCGGCTCTGAATGTAAATGGAACAGATTTGGTGAACGCGCTTCCCAGCCCGAGCGGTTGTCACCGTTTGTCGCGCCGACAACTTTATTCTGATGACACTAGATTTCTTTGCAGTAAATCTTGCTGGAGTGTTGCCTGTGCAATACAACACACATCCATTCAGCGCTCGTATCAACGTTTATTGAAATATATAGTAAATGTCCTTGATTTGGGCTCCCGTCACCTCCCTCTCACCTCAGCCGCTGACAGCATCAACCTTCAATGAATGCGCACTTCTCCACTCCAAGTGGTTGTGGACAATCCCTCCCTCAGCTGTCATTCAAAGCTCACTCACTCAGATATCCCCACTGCCATCACCCCCACAACTATACGCGCCTCAACACCTTCACTGTTACAACCCCAGCTCCCACCAACACACACACAGTCACTAAGACCTCATTGACGCCTCCTCACGTCCAGCTTCATTACGCTAACTCCTTGCTCGCTGCACTCAGTGAGCTGATCACCCCCACCCTAACCCGGCTTCACTGGCTCCTCTTCCCCCAGACGATCTAGTTTAAAAATCTTCATCCTCGACTTTAAGCCCTACATAGCCTCGCCTTCTCCCTTTCTCGATTTCATCCTCAAACAATTGCCAACATGTCCGCTCCATTACTGGACCAACACTGACCTTCTCAACCTGCCAAATCACTCTGTCCCACCATAGGTAGCGAGGCTCTCAGCCACATGATGTCTACTCTCCAGCCCTCAATTCCCAGTTCCCTTCACCTTGTGGTTCTGCCCCCTCTTTCCAGGGAAACCTCAAAACAGTAAATTCAGAATGAATCAACGGAAACACTTTTTCCGTGAGCTAAAAAGTTAACCTGTGGAACAGCTCCCTTGGGAGACGGTTGAAGCAGGAAGCATTGGTGCCTTCCAACACAGATTTGATCGTTTCCTTTTAGGAAATAACATTCTGGGATCTGGTACATACATAGATTGGGATATATGTGCATGCAAAACCGCTGGGTAAGTGACAGGCGAACTAGATGGACCTTGGTCTTTTTTTTGTCGAGCATTTCTTATGTTCTGATGTGCTTGTGTAAATTGTGTTAAATTTGATGCAATGTAATCCTTGCATAATAATAATAAATAATATTAATAATAAATAATAATAATCCTTGCATTTAATATAGCGCTTTTCACGTCCTCTAGATGTCTTAAAGTGCTTCACAGAATATACAGTAAGGTGAATTGACTGTATATTTGTGGGCGAATCGCGGCAGACAATTGCGCACAGCAGTTTCCCACAAACAGTCGTGGATTGGTCAAGGTTTCAAGGTTTCTCCCTGTTGGGAATCAAACCCAGGTCTCTCGCTTGCGAGGTGAGTGCTCTAACCACTGAGTTACAGATAATGTCTTATCACATCATAGAAATGTCTCATAAAACTTCATACGATTTACTGTGAAGCCGAATGACTGGGTCAAAAGCAGTAGCCATGTCCCACAAACAGGCCTTGAACTAAGCCATGAATATTATTTCGGAGATTGTTGGACAGGACACCAGGAGGAACTCCTTCTGTTTTTGCAAAAGCCTTGTGGGAGATCTTTAACTCCCACCTGAACAGGTAGACAGATCCTATGTTTAATGTCTTATCTGTCTCTCCCTCTTTCCCTCACATTCACTGTCTCACTATTTTGCTTAAACATTATGTGAAGGATGGAGCCTCTGACAATACAACACCCCTCCAACACGGCATTGGAGGGCCATATTGGACCATGTGATTCCAATTCGCGATGTGGGGCTTCAAGCCACAACCTTCTCACTCTGGGGTGAGTGTGCGAGTGACCGGCAATGACACCCAAAACCCAGATTGTCTTTCCGGGGTGAACACGGGTGCTTTTGAACGTGACCTATTCCCTTCCAACCAAATCAGCGAGTTTGTGCTCTCTTTCTTGTGTCTTACAGGTAATTTACTGACAATCGTCATCCTGTCCAGAGGAAACTGTGGACTCTCCAAATGTATCACTTACTATCTCGTCGCCATGGCAGCAGCAGATCTGGTGGTGGTTGTTGCTGATGTGATATTAACTCGGATGAATTTCCTCTTCTACCCTGTTTGCTTCCTGGATCTCACGTACATCTGCGCCGTGGGCACAAGTGTGCAGTGTGTGGCTGCGGACTGCTCGGCCTGGCTGACTATCGCCTTCACCTTTGATCGTTTTGTGGCCATTTGCTACCCGAGGGCCAACGCCACATATTCCAGCAAGAGGACGGCTGCCGTGGTGATTGGGGCAATCTGGGCAGTGAGCTGTGCGACCAACATGCCCTGGTACCTGGCCATCGAGCCGTTGTTGGTGATCGGAAACATGTCTTGGTTCTGCAAAGCTAAGGAGAGCTTCTACACTTCCCTCGGGTGGGCCATGTTCAACTGGATCGACATCATCCTGACCCCATTTATTCCATTCTTCCTGATTTTAGCCCTCAATACTCTGACTGTCAGCACATTGTGGCCGCTAACAAAGTTCGCAGAAGTTTGCTGGGCCACAGCAGTGCGGGAAGCACCGACTCGGAAATGGAGAACAGGAGAAAATTGTGTCATTTTACTCTTCGCTATATCTGGCAGTTTCATGCTGTTTGGAGCGCATACGTTGTCTACATCATCTATGGGCAAACTGTCAATTATTACTACACAGATTACAACCATCCGATCTACATCCTCTATCACACAGCCATAATGCTCCAGCTTTCAAACAGCGCCACAAACACGTGCGTTTACGCCGTGACGCAGACGAAATTCAGAGAAGAGGTGAAGAAGGCAGTGAAATACCCCTTCGTTTTGATGATGAAACAGTTTTCACAGTGAGAATGCACTGTCCGGGTCTCATATGATATGCTGAAAGTTTTCAACTGCTAGCAAGTCAAAGTATGTCATTTTGAACACTGGTTCAATGATCATTTCCGGGTTTTAGAACCAAAAAATAAAAAACTTTAACCTTTGATATGCTGCTTACACATTAGAGTGATATATGAAGTTCTCTTTGTACTTCGGTAGGACAGGTCTATTTGCCAAGGCCCCTCACGTGAGGATCGGGTTGATTAAGCACCTGGTACTCAGTAAACCTGGTACGCAACATTGTAATTTCGACCTTGAGAACACTACAATGACTCTCAAGTCATAAGCAAAGGACCTCAATGCTGAACGCAGATGTCCGCCAGATAGCTGATGAGCAAACTTTGAGGCTTGGGGCGACACTGCTGGAAGGTGTTGCCTGGAGTCCGAGTTTGTGGGACACGTTCGTACATCCAGCACCTGGAATCCACCTTGAGTGGCTTGCAGAGAGGCAAGCAGCTGCTGCTTATGTGACTATCCTCCTTAGGGTGAGACAGGGTGTGGGGTAGGGACGGTTAGCGCGTTCTCTTCGGAGCTGAACTGGTTCCAAGGTGACATGTACGGCAACATAATATCAGGATTGAGCCAACCTCTGGTTGTCTCACTCTTCCTGCTACTGAGCCAGACAGGTCCACAGTACTCCAACAACCTGGTGATGACAGCACAGCCAGGCTGGCAAATCAGCAGGACTTGTGTAAATTAGTACTATCTCGGTACTCCATATAAGGTTATATAGCCTCTTATCCCACTTTCTCTTACATTAATAATCATGATCCTTGCATTTGATACCGCACTTTTCACATCTTCTCGACGTCTCAAAGCGCTTCACAGAATATGCTGTAAAGTGAATTGACCGTATATTTGTGGGCGAAAGTATAATGGACTACAAAGTGAGAGCAAACTCTTACCTTGTACTTAACTCTTTTAATGCTACCTGATAATCTCTAATGTTATTTCTAAATACTAATGCTACCAATTTAATTGATATAAAACAGAACAGCTTTAAAATTTACAATCTCCCCACCTTGAGAGTGAGAAATCTAATTTTTGATATCTCACTCCTTTTTAATCATACTCGTTCTTTCTTGCATTAGCTCCAACATTTCCAACCCTTCTTTCTTTCTTTTCAACAAACCTTTGCATGTTATTCCTTCAGATGCATTGTTAGCCCTTATATCATTTTTCTTCTATGGTGGAGTCCTGTAGCTCAGTGGTTAGAGCACTCGCTTTTGCAAGTGAGAGACCTGAGTTCAATTCCAGGCAGAGGGCGAAACCTTGGGCAAGTTTCCTTACTCCACAACGCCTAATAATAATCCTCAAAAAACCAAAAACAATAATTAAATTGGTCATCTTTCAATCTACGACTGTTTTGTGGGGACATTGCTGGTGCGCAATTGGCTGCGCCGCGTTCGCCCACAAATATACAGTCAATTCACTTTACAGTGTGTTCTGTGAAGCGCTTTGGGACGTCCTCCCGACGTGAAAAGCGCTATATCAAATGCAAGGATTATTATTATTATTATTATTTCATTGATCGTATTCCGGGTAATGTTAAGCGCTCCCATAATTTTGGCAACTGATATTAAAGATTATCGTCCTTTACTTACAAGTTCTCTCGTAAGACTTGCAACTAGCTACAGTATTTCCCAAAGTTGTTTAGGCATCTTTCACAATACACTGACTGAATGTCTACGCCATTTAAAGCAACTCCCATTATTCCCGGTCTTGACGCAATATCTGTCAAACTCCTGGTTTTCCTTGTTGCCTATTTTCCTGAATTTTCTACCAAATCTTCCATTTTTCTATCCCAGGTTTCCTGATGGAACACTGTCAGATGGTGTCTGATTACTTCTTGAAACCAAGCTTCAAATTGACCATGACACAACCTTTGGGAGTTGTTACATTTATAAAATTTATTTAAGTAATGGGCCAATAAAATCAATGTGTGTGTGAGTCCAGGGTCCTTCCGACGTCAGTGCTGTTCTCTTAAAGGCTCGTAACTTTATATTGTAAGCAAGCCTTGGCTTGCTTACACCTATGGCATTGCAAATCAGTATTTAGTGCCATTCCTGGGCATCAAGCCATCATCTTAATCATATCTGAGGCACTGCTTGCAGATGAATGAACCCCATCAGTTGATGACATATGCACTAACTGACCCTACATTAATCATTGTGTCATTTGACAATCTTACTGGTGGAAATAGAGATTCTAATTATGCACATTGGGCAGAATGTGGCTCACATTTGTACTGAGGATTTCATTGAGGGGTGTGAACTGCAAGTTCTTTTTGTGGATCTCCATCAACGTGGTATGATGGCCCATTCATGTATATATGTTCTGCTTTAGAACAATTCTTCCTTGCTCACCAAACCTTTCTCAAAGTCCATCAAGGGCAAAGGACACATATGGGGCATTCCCTCATATAACAACATTTGAGATAATAACTTTGTTTCTTTGAAACCCTACTCAGATTCCAGCTGTTCACTTTTCAGGCACCATCTTCTCTGCAATTCAACATCCTCATCACTTAACACCTGCCTGTCTCTGACTTTACTTGTTTCAAGTTTTCTGACAAACGCTGGACTTTCTTGTCCAGAATCTGTTTTGTAACTCATTGTGCTTTGCGTAATTCTGTTATATATTCTTCTTTTTCTCATCTCGCTTCTTTGCTTGAATCATTTCTTGATTTTGCTTTACACAATGTTCCCAACATCTCATCCCTGTGGGTATCAGTCACAGACATACCACACACTTCCATTCTATCTGTCCCGGCTGAGTGTGCAGAATCCAACACCTGAACCAAAGACATTATGGGTTTCACTGGACTCCTTCCATTGCCTGACAGCAATTAGGTTGCGGTTCTTACTTACGTGTACTCCCGACAACATTGACTGAGAAAACACTTTTAGGTTTTAGAAAGAATGCTTTTTAATAATATATATATTTTTTTAGAAAGAACGCTTTCTGGAACCTCCTCTCAGAATCCCAGAAGAAAAAAACAATAATAACGAAATTAGTCACTTCAATCCACCACTGTTTGTGGGACACTGCTGTGCTCAACTGGCTTCTGCATTTCACCCAAATTATACAGTCAATTCACTATATTCAGTAAATTCTGTGAAGCGCTTTGAGACATCTGGAAGACGTGAAAAGCGCTATATCAAATGCGAGGATTATTATTATTATAGGTTAGGACCTCTTAACAGTTGTTAAGATTGGATTCCATTTGGGTTGTGAATTGATCAGGACATTTGAATCTATCCTTTAATTCATCCTGAAACATTGTTCAAAGTTTGGATATTAAACAGTTGTTTCCTGTATTATTCTCCATAGACAATGATTCCACAAAGAGCAAAGACCAAATCCGCAATACTTAATAATGGCAGCAACTCGGTTTCAGGAGATAGCGATTGATCTGTTACCATATCTCCTGGGAGAGTCACAGCTGGGAATCGGTCAGATCTGCATATCACGCGACACTGGCGAAAATACCTCAACTGCACCAAAATCTGAATCACATTTGTGTGTGTGTTAGCAATGTTCCCACCAGAAGAATGTTCAAAACCTTACGACGTTGAAGAGCCGTAACAATCCTGAACCAGTTCTGCTCCTTGTTCTAATAACAAGATAACAATCACAGGTATCCACCAAGTGGACGTTATCTCTCATTTCCACTCACTTTCACACGGTTGGCATTAACTCTTTCCTTACAGTTGTTTCTGGGGTTCACTGAGCGCAACCGGCTGCTGCGTTTGACGGCACACTCGCTCCACGTAAGCATGAACCCTGTGAGGCGCTTTCAGATGTCCTCCCGATGTGGGAGGCTCTGTATTGAACGTTGGGGAATATTGCCGTTAGTTCAGTTGACTGGAGCCCGTGTTGTAACGGTAACGATTGTTTGTTCAGCCGCCTGTGAGTAATGCCCAGCAATCGGCAGATTAACGGTCTCGCTGGGGCTACTCACAACTTGATATAAAGGTCGACGCTCATCAGTGCAAACCTCCGTTTCACTATGAAGAAGTTTCACAGCTACTCAGAGAAGAGTTATCGAAAAGAAACCATTTTCCAGATAATGTACGTCGTCTACCCTGTCCTCGCCCTTGTCGGCGTGCTCGGTGAGTCAGCGGAGACGCGTTGCTTTGTGATTCCCGGATCACTTCGGCTCTGAATGTAAAGGGAACAGATTTGGTGAACGCTTCCTTCCCCAGCCCGAGCGGTTGTCACCGTTTGTCGCGCCGACAACTTTATTCTGATGACACTGGATTTCTTTGCAGTAATCTTGCTGGAGTGTTGTCTGTGCAATACAACACACATCCATTCAGCGCTCGTATCAACGTTTATTGAAATATATAGTAAATGTCCCTTGATTTGGGCTCCCGTCACCTCCCTCTCACCTCAGCCGCTGACAGCATCAACCTTCAATGAATGCGCACTTCTCCACTCCAAGTGGTTGTGGACAATCCCTCCCTCAGCTGTCATTCAAAGCTCACTCACTCAGATATCCCCACAGCATCAGCCCCGCAACTATACCCGCCTCAACACCTTAACTGTTACAACCCCCAGCTCCCACCACACACACACACCTAAGACCTCATTGATGCCTCCTCACCTCCAGGCTTCATTACGCTAACTCCTTGCTCGCTGCACTCAGTGAGCTGATCACCCCCACCCTAACCCGGCTTCACTGGCTTCTCTTCCCCCATACGATCTAGTTTAAAAATCTTCATCCTCGACTTTTATGCCCTCCATAGCCTCGCTCCCTCCCTTTCTCGATTTCATCCTTAAACCATTACCAAATGTCCGCTCCATTGCTGGACCAACACTGACCTTCTCAACCTGCCAAATTCACTCTGTCCCACCATAGGTAGCGAGGCTCTCAGCCACATGATGTCCGCTCTCTGGCCCTCAATTCCCAGTTCCCTTCACCTTGTGGTTCTGCCCCCTCTTTCCAGGGAAACCTCAAAACAGTAAATTCAGAATGAATCAACAGAAACACTTTTTCCGTGAGCTAAAAATTAACCTGTGGAACAGCCTCCCTTGGGAGACGGTTGAAGCAGGAAGCATTGGTGCCTTCCAACACAAATTTGATAGTTTCCTTTTAGGAAATAACATTCTGGGATCTGGTACATACCTAGATTGGGATATATGTGCATGCAAATCGCTGGGTAAATGTCAGGCGAACTCGATGGACCTTGGTTTTTTTTGTCGAGCAATTCTTGTGTTCTGATGTGCTTGTGTAAATTGTTAATTTGATGCAATGTAATCCTTGCATAATAATAATAAATA